GAAAGAAAGAAATAGCAAGCAAGTCCAGCCCAATGCAAAGGACCACATACCATAGCCAAGGCAGATTTATATTAGGAAAGTAATGGCCGTTACATATGAAAATCAATCCAAGTCTCTCCCCTGATGGTGTACACCTATGATCCTCACACTCCAGGACGCAAAGGCAGGAGGATCATTAACTCAAGCCTAGCCAGGACAACTTAGAGACTTAGCAAGACCCTGTCTCAAAAAATAAATCAAATAAAAAATAAAAACTCAGTGCACAGTTCTTGATTTCAATCTCTAGTACACACATACGTTGACGCACACAAGAAGAAACAAAGCAATTCATTTACAGTAAATTCTACAAAAATTAAGTGCCTAGAAATAAATATAATGAAAGTGGAAGACGTGGGCATGGAAAATTACAAAATATTGTGTAATACTCTGAATTCTCTTCAGATTACATAAATATTAAATGCTACCCAGAGTAATCTCCAAATTAAATGCAATCACTATAGAAATCTCAACAATTCTTTTTGCAGACATAGAAAATCCAGGCCAGGGCCAGCCAAATAGCTCGGCAGATTAAAGCACCTGCAAGCAGGCGCAGGGGCCGGGAGTTCGATCCCCTGGGTCTGCTGTGCCAGCCCCACCTCCAGGGCATCTGGAGGGGGCAATTGAGACTGGGCATGGTGGTACGCGCCTGTAATCCCAGCTCTTGGGAGGCTGTAAACAGGCAGATCACTGTGAGTCGGATGTAGTAGTGAAACCCTGAACACCCTGTAGACCCTTCCCTAAAATACAAAATAACTAACTAAATAAATAAACCCAAAGACAGCCACCACACCACCAAAAGCCAAGGGAGACTGGCAGGAAGGGCCAGTCTAACCCCTCAGAAGGAGCCAACTCTGTCAAAACTTTGACTTTGGATTTTTGTGCAGAATTGTGAGACAGTATTTTCCTGCTATTTAAAGACTTGCAGGTTTAGATACTCTGCTGTCCTAGGAAACTAGAACAACAGCTGACTGATTTTTTTTTAATATTCATTTATTTTTATTTATTACATTTATTTATTGTGTGTGTGTGTGTGTGGCCAGCTCAGCCCACCAGGGG